CACTCACCTCAGCCTCCCAAAGGCGCGGGATTACAGGCTGAGCCACCGAGCCCGGGATATCATCTTTTTATAAAAAGGATCCACAATGTTTTAAATGAGCAATAATACCCAGGATTTGAGGAAATGGACATACTCATATGTTCATGATGAGAGGTTGAATATCTACAACATTTTGAGAATCTACTTTAGCAATATTAAATAAAACTTAAAATATACATAGTCTATGATCCTAGCATTCCACTTTTAGTAATCCATCCTTTAGAAATAAAAGCACCAGTAAGTAAGGACTCATATACAGGGATGTTTATTGCAGTTAATTTAGGTGGTGGCCAAAAATGTTGGAAAACAGCCTTGATATCCAACAATAGTGTAATGTTTAAGTAAATCATGGTTCAAGCATACAATGGAAATTATACAGATTTTTTTAAAGTTGTAATCTCATTCTGTCACCCAGACTGGAGTGCAGTGGCACGCTCCCGGCCACTGCAGCCTCGACCTACTGGGTTCCAGCGATTCTTCCACCTCAGCCTTCCAAGTAGCTGGAACTACAGGTGTGCACTACCATGCCCAGCTAATTTTTGATTTATCATAGAGATAAGGTCTCGCCAAGTTGCCCAAGCAGGTCTCGAACCCATGGGCTCAGGCAATCCACTAGCCTCAGCCTCCCACAGTGCTGGGATTACAGGCTGGGCCACCGAGCCCAGTCAAGAACTATACAGTTATTACAAGGAGGAGGTAAATGTGCATATTGACATGGAATAATATTTAAGACAGATTGTTAAGTTGGGTTGCCAAGGAGTGTGTGCACTATGATGCTGGTTTTGAAAAACAACACAAAAATAGATGTGAAAAAGATGAAGCAAGGATTGAAATTTTTTGATAATTATTGGAACTGTGTGAGGGGCATATAGGGGTTCATTATACTGGTCTCTACTTTTCCTTGTGTTTGCAATTTTTCACAATAAATAAATGCTAAAAGAATATCAGTACAGACAGAGAAAGGCATGGAACATACATATCAACCTGTCAATGCTGGTTGTCTTCAGAGGAGCAGAATGGGATGGGAGTAAGATGAGATATGTTTAACCTTTTTCACATAAACCTCATATTGTTTGACTTATAATTCCAATAGAAGAAAAAAAGAACATAGAAAAGCTTGTGGGAATCTAAGACACATACATTGGCATTCACAGCAACAAACTGTGGTTTAGGGCAGTGATTTTCAGAACTTTTTTTTTAGCTGAGAATCCTGTCTGCAAATAAAGCTTGTTCACCAGCTCAATATATTCAACAAATAAAAGAGGAGCTATTCTGGTCAAACCTTGGGGTCCAGCACCCTGGCACCACCCTCACCCAGCAGTCGCAAAGGCACCTCTAAGGAGCACAGTTTGGAAGCCAAAACTTGAGTCTAATCAAAGATCCTGGAGGGAAGAGTGTGTCTGTCTGGTGTGTGCAAACCTTAATCAGCTTGGAATCCCAGGAGGTTCAAGAATTAGTAACCGTAAGTCAACCCAATGTGGAAGAGAAGGATGCAATTTTCCAAATCTAAAACACATTCTAATAGCATGGCTTGCATTTGCATAATCACCATTTTCTATGGTAAAGTGGAACTTTAACATCTAATTAAATTTGATGTGGATCCAACTTCACTAAGGTAATACAGGGGAAAGGTCTGAGGTCTCATTCCTAGCAAGGGCTAATACTTGGGTAATTCTACTTTGAAAAGCCTACATTTATTTCATCGGGGATCAATAAGAATTTCCTTGGTTGTAGAAATTCAAGCACTCTTTTCAGAAACTCCTCTGTGATGTCCAGAGGCCAGGCACTTTCCCAAAAGGGAGTAAGATTCAGTGTGTGGCTCATACAGCTCCCAGAGCAGCCTCTCACTTCCCTAAAGTACACATGGACTCTCTATAAGGTAGGAGACTTTGAGTCCCAGCCTGGCTAGTGAAGACAGCCTGCAGAGAAAATGGAGGAGGGTTAGTAAGAGACAAGATCTTTGCTTCCCATTAGAGTGAGTGTTCACATAAAGACGCACACACAGCTGAGCTTTCAAGCAGGGCAAAGTGGTGGTCCTCTGAGTTTATCACAAGGAAGGCTGAGACTGGGCACTCTGCCCAGTCTCCTCTTAGCGAGGCGCGTTTCTGCCCCATGTGACTTTGTTGTGGTTGGTCTGGGCTAATGTGTGTTCGGATGACAGAGAAGACATGCAGGGCAGTACTGGGCCTATCCCGCTCCTGGGCTGTCCAGTTGCCTAGTGACCAGGCACGAGGGCCAGTGCCTTCCTCATTTTCTCCTCCACACTGAAAGGACAACTCAAGAGGCCTTTATCAGAGCATAGCACAGCAACTGCTGCTGCTGGGTAGTGGAATAAACACCCTCACAGCCACCAGTCACCAAAAAAGAGAAGTAGTCAAGCTGTAGACCTCGCTGCCAAAGCACCAAAATGAATGGATCTCAATTAAGGTTTTCACTCCAACTTTAAAGAGATATTTCCTGAGTGCTTTCTTCCCCAAGATTTTTTTTTTTTTTTTTTTGAGTTGGAGTCTCAATCTGTCACCTAGACTGGAGTGCAGTGGCCGCTCCGGGCTACCGCAGCCTCGACCTGCTGGGCTCCGGCGATCCATCCGCCTTGGCCTTCCAAGTAGCCGGAACTACAGGCACGCGCTACCACGTTACCCAAGATTTTAATCAGAAATGGAAGTTAGAGTTTATTAAATCCCCTATTTACATTTATTAAGATAATCATGAGATTTTAGTATTTTCCAGTAAATATTAATTTGGAGTTTCCCAACTAGTGGATTATAGGAGTGCCAGGATGTCAATCCCTTGGGGTGAAGGCCACAAGCCTCCAGTGACTATGAACAGCATCTTCAGTTCAACCAGGTTACTTCAGATGATAATTTTCTAAGTGAGACATGAAAATCTTGAGAATAGCAAATTTTGAGAATTGCTGGGTTAATGGTTTGCTTTGTGTTATGTCTGGCTACAGGACATGTGGCAAATCCTAACGAGTTACAAAGAGGAAATAAATTTTTATATGTTATATACTTTTGCCAATATTTTATTTAGGATAGTCTGATCAAGTTTTTTTTTCTGTCATTGACCTAAAATATCTTTTTGTTGTTGAATTCAATTTAGGTTCAAAACCATACTTCATTTATCAAAGGTATAGAGTAATAGGTATTATCACTCTATTCTACTCTCACAACAGTTTATATAAACATGGCTATTATTTGTCCTACGGCATGTAGATCTGAAGATGAGGGAGGAAAGTGGGAAAGGAGGAGGAAGGTGGTATGGAGTCTCTGGGTAGTACACCTATAGTGAACTTTGTTTACTGGTGGCCCTGACAACTCTGAAGGCTTTTGAGGAAGCAGTAAGATGCTATACAGTAATCCCGAATTTGGGTTCTTTAAAAAGCCCTTGAAGGTCATAGAAGGTAATAATATTACGGGGGGGAGGGGGCAAATGTTATTTTTGTCCTTCAAAAACCCAAGTTGAGATGATACTTTGAGTTTCTTTATCAATACGGTAATCTGCTGTTGAACTAAATTTGGCCCGAGGATACCTCTGTACTTGGAGTCCTTATGTAAGGAGGTACAACCTAACTAGTACATAAACTAACTGAAAGCCTAACATAGGAGTATACTTGTGTAACAAATAGCTGAGTCTCAGCCAATTACAGCAGCTGAGCTTCAGTTAATATCAGGTATCTCACTGATCAGACCATACTCAAATAAGGCAAATGTGTAGCTGTAACCAATCACACTTTTTCTGTACCTCACTTTCATTTTCTGCCAATAAATGCTGCCTGTTCACATTGTGGAGTGGAGGTCTCTGAACCTCTTCTAGTTCTGAGGCCTGCACAATTCATGAATTGTTCTTGGCTCAGTTAAACTCTGTTTCATTTAATTTGTCTGAAGTTTTTATTTTATTTTATTTTTATTTTTTTTGAGTTGGAGTCTCACTCTGTCACCCAGACTGGATGGAGTGCAGTAGCCACTCCCAGCCACTGCAGCCTCAACCTGCTGCGCTCCAGTGATCCTTCCGTTTCAGCCTTCCAAGTAGCTGGAACTACAGGCGCGCGCTACCACACCCGGCTAATTTTTTTGATTTATTGTAGAGATGGGGTCTCACCAAGTTGCCCAGGAGGGTCTCGAACCCGCAGGCTCAGGCAATCCACTCACCTCAGCCTCCCAAAGCACGGGATTACAGGCTGAGCCACCAAGCCCGGCTTGAAGTTTTTATTTTAAAACTGGTTAGATCTTAGGCTGATTAGAGAGTCTCTTTGGGATGTCTGTGTCTGATTCATAAAAATGGGTCACTAGTTACTTGCTCATTAATAATAAGTACTGCCGGGCTCGGTGGCTCAGCCTGTAATCCCAGCACTTTGGGAGGCTGAGGTGAGGGGATTGCCTGAGCCCGCGGGTTCAAGACCCGCCTGGGCAGTGAGACCTCATCTCAACAATAAATCAAAAAATCAGCCGGGCGTGGTAGCGCGCGCCTGTAGTTCCGGCTACTTGGAAGGCTGAGGCGGAAGGATCGCTGGAGCCCAGCAGGTCGAGGCTGCGGTGGCTGG